CAGCAGTAGCAGCGCTACTCCATAAAGGACGGTAGAAATTATTTTGAGTTCTTTTATTTAAGTATTTCTGTATTCTCAGTTCCAGAGCAGGGAGGGTGAGGCACAGGTTCTATGCAGGAAGCATTCAGAGATTACATCAGAGAGCACACAGCAAGGGAGTGACCTGCAGCTGGAGATAAACTGTCCCTTTCTAAAAGGTGGGACAGAGTTTATGCCGTCAGCTAGTGCAGTACACACATCACTGCAGCAGCAGCCCTGCTGACGAATGCCCCATTGTCCAAGCAAAGAAAGACAGCCTGTAAATGAAGCAGGCAAACTGCCATAAGGGGCTTGTGTCCATGAGAGCTCAAAAAGCCAGTTTGAAGTGTCCATGTGAGCATGGAATTGATATATGGAGTAAGTCGTGAAAGACAGTGAGGAAACTTGGAAGTAAAAATTTTTACTGTCTGAGCAAGGAGGACAAGAAGTGACACGAGAGAGTCACTTATTATTTTCAAAATAATACTTAGAACAATTGAACCATCGAGAAAGTTATTTGAAGACTTGACCTAGACAAAATAAGACTGTAAAGGGACTCAGTAATTGCGCTCAAAACTGAGAATAAAAATAAGGGGCAATAGAGCCTTATGTTTCAGATGTAAGATCTGTGACACTATGCCTATCGTTTGAGATATTATGGAGCCCCTAATTAAAACCAAGGGTTGTTTGCGGGATTCCAGAGTGTAAGGAAAATTATTAAGAGAAACAGATCCAGCCCTGAAGAGATTAGCCAGCATCACAAAGAAGTCATTGCTGAGTGCTCAGACAGCTGTAACACATGTCACTGGGTCTCCAAAGCTCTCAGGTGAGGAGAGGGTACTGCCCAGCAAAGTCTCTGGCAATACAGTGAGCAGGGAATGCTGTGTGGAGAACCACACAGACGTCTGTTTGCAAAACCTTTACAGCCCAGAAGGGAGGCTCCAGCAATCACTGTAATCTACTGCCCACAATGGGCACTGCGGGATGTGCCTGTGCTAACTCCCAGCATTTTTTAAGTAGAGACCCCATAGCTCCAGGAAAGATCTGACATTGTTTATTCAACATATGCTGAACATGTGGGAGATATGTTTGCCTGAGCGAAGTCACGGAGCATATCCTTTGGCCAAGCATGAGTGCCCACAGCAAATAGTGTCAGACAGGGAAAACAGTGAGCTGGCAGGGAGATAGCCCAGCCTGACCCCCGGGGTTAAAAAAAAAAAAACAGAAAAAAACCAAAAAAGCCAACCACAGCAAAAAGCCAAACAAACTGGACAGGTTGGTTTGCTTTTAATAATAGAAACATGTACAGCCACCCCAGCTCATTGCCCCAGCTCCACAGAGACCAGATGCATTGGAGCTGCTTTCTAGGCTTTTGGAAGACTTAAGTGCAAAGGGGGTGAGGTTGCAGGTTTTGATGTGGAGCAAAACAGTGGTGAAATCAGATTGCAGCCTGAATAATGAAAGAAAAAGTCTGCCTAAGAGAAATTCCTGGGAGAAAATTTTTAAAAAGCAGGAGACAGAGCTGGATCTGAGTAAGTCAGAAGACATTACAGTCATGTTGGACATGATATGCTGCATAAAATAGTGTGTGACAACAGGTCAGAAGCATGGTGTGAGTTTGAGGGGTATATCTGTAATTGCGAGATGTGCAAAAAGTCCCATGAAACACAGAGGAGAGTGAGATCATACACCTCCGTCTGACCCTTCTATAGCCTTTCCACTTTCAGTTCAAATGCTTCCAGCCCCAGAGGGTCAGGGCAGTCTCTTACCAGCCTCTGCACCAGCTTCAGACAAATCCTCAATGTTAAAATCACGTCAGTTGTCATTTCTAGAGACATATAGACAGATACAGGGCACAGGAAGCCTGGAAACCATTGAAAAGTCTGGAAAAATTCTGGAGATATTTTTTATAAGTGGTGTCATTTATTGTTATAATCCATGACATTAGACAGATGTTATAAAACTTGTAGTGGTGAAAGAGCCTCAGCACCTGATGCCACCCTTAAGCCCAAGGGGAGAAGGTAACGAAGACATTTAGCTTGTAAGGTCTTGAACAGACAGGAGACTCTGCTAGTTGAGACCTCCTGTCTGAGAGGTCAGACAGCCGCCTGTCATAGCAGATCACCACAGCCTCAAAAAATCATCACTCTTCCTCAGGAAGGGGCAACCACTGCAGTAACACTAGGATAGAACAGCACCTACACTGCAGATGTAGTAGGCAAGGCAAAGCTAAAACTGAAAGATCTCCCAGCATGAAACAGCAGAGCTGCAGATGAGCTAGGAGTGAACTGGAGGTCAAAACAGCGCAGGATGTCCCAGGGGCCCTCCTGATTTAGCAGACTGTGAACAATTAAATAGGTATATTTTATTATTACTTGTTTCATGTTAATGTTGGCTGTTAGTTTTTGTTGTTAAGGTAATGAAGGTGTAAAGAAAGGTAGGATGCTCTGACACAAGGCAGCTGGACCTCTCTCTCTGGGATTGAGGAGTCCCTGTTATACCTGTTACCTACTGAAACTGTTTAAAGCTGTTCCCTGGCAGGCTCCTGGGTTCTGCCTGATGGCTGAGAAGCACGGCTACAGTATCAGCCACAGCTGTAATAGCTTTGGAAATAGCTTTTTGTCAATAAGGAGCTTATTTCACCTTTACAAGAAACGAAGGGCTTTTCAACTGTTGCTCAGCGTGTGTTACCTGACATGCCAGGCATTCCCAGCAGCCATGAGGAGAGTCAGGCAGGGAGGAACTGCTCTGTGTACTGAAATGAACTTTTTCATTTTGCCAAGTCTTGGCAGACAGGTAAGTTTTTTTAAGGTGATACTTGCTTCTAAATGCAACACGTAACTCATTTTGCTGCAGTCTATCCACCTAGTGTGCTATGCTTGTGGGTACAAAGTTAACAGTACCAACTAATGTGACTCAGAATTAACAAGGAAATATGTGTTTTTCTATCACAGAAAGAGTGGTTCACGTTAAAATATTTCAAAGTATTCTGCAGTTCTCTCAAAGTTTGAAGATCCCTGTTCCTTGCCTGCTTAAATGTAAAGAAGTGGAGCTTAATGATACATTTCTACATAATTGAAAATGCTCAAACACAGGTAGAGAGACAAAGAGAGAGAAAGCTAACTGGAAGCAGTTTCTCAATATGTGCAAGTCACTTAATTTTGGCCAACAGAACATGGAGTTTCAAGCCACTTAGGCACTCTGGAAAATTTGTTCTGGATATGAAACAGGCTTACTTGGGCAGCTGCAGGGCCTGTCAATTCTGTGCTGCAGCCAGCCCTCAGGAAAGAGAGGTCTCTCGGTGCCTGCAGTCAGTGTCCTTGGCAGCTTCCAGTCTTTGTCTCTTTCCAGCAGTAAATAAAACATAATGAAACAAGAGCAGCCAGTGCCAACGCCCAAAAGCTGATGTTGGAATGAGAAGCAAGCATGAGACCAGAGAAGCACAAGCAGCATCTCCCCTCTCCCCCAAGTACTTTACAGTCTTCTCAGCCCAGACACATCCCGAGCCAGACTGGTTTTCTGTGTATTCAGTAGCTCTCAGGGGGTTTTCTCTTCCATGAATTCATTCAACCTTCTCTCAAGGCTGCACTGGTGATCAATGTTTCCTACGCAGCCGGTCACACTAAGAAAAAAGAATCAATATTCACTTTGGTCATGGCCTTTCCAATACTCGGCCATTCCCTTATGTATCCTTGTGTTAACAACCCCATGTGAGGGACAGGAATGAGATCAGCAGCTGCCAGCAGGGTCCTGTGCCATAGATATTTCCAGATAATAGTTTTTCTCTCTCTCTTAAGGACATGGAGTGCAGCTGACACTCCTGTCCTGTTACTGCACCTTTTTCTGTACGTATAATGCATCTGGAAAATATACATTAAAGTAAATGTGTAAGGAATAAATAAGGAAAAAAATCTCACAAATGAAACCAAAAAGCCAAATCAGCATGAAAAATGTGTTGCTCAGATTTTGTGCTATGTACATATATGTATGCTACTGTTTAGTAATATGCAGATATGGCTTGAGCCTTCTGAGACTTTATGCTAGTTTCTCCCTCTTCAAAATAAAATTCTCAGTGGAGGAAGCATGACATGAGAGAACTAAGGATTATGATGATGGTGGTCATTATTATTGACATTTTTCCTTTCGTATTTTAATTTGACAGAATTAGCTAAATACCTTTCCTAAAAGAATGAACCTGAATGTAATTCAGTTGAGATACTGAGTGAAAGAATTAATTATTTTCTTCATTTTCTCTAGTAAAGAAAGGTCTCTGCATTATTTTTACATGTCATCAAATTAAAATGGTGTGAAGAAGTACCAGTTACTCAGCAATGAAATGTCGTGGAGTAAATGGGAGGCAACTGTTAAAAATCCTCATCTGAGCAGCCAAGGAGAAAATTCCTTCATCACATATGCAGGTGACATAATCCTGGGAACACCCTTCCCACAGGTGTTGGCTTCTTTGCAGATTCCCCAAGGAGAAATCTGCACATCATTTGCCAACACGGCTGTAGATTTATGTCTTTGTTTTCTTAGAAATATGAAACTTTGTATATTCATTGATTTTAAGTCTAGAATTAAACAATTACAATCAAGTAAGAGTACATCAGTCCTTATAAGCTTGCCACAAACTTCTAAGTTCTTCCCTCAAGTTCATATTTTCTGGCTGAACTGAAGCATGTTTTCTGCAATTAAAAAACAAAACAAAACAAAACAAAACAAAACATTGGTTTAAAGACATCAGGTATTAGAAAACTGTCAGACAGAATCTGATTCCTGGTCTGAGTTGTCTGGTGGTTTTCATCCTGTGGTTCATCAGTCCCTGGGCATCTCTGAACTACCCCATATCGGATCATGAAATGTGATTGAGGAAATTAAGTTCTTGGTCTCTACATAGCAATTGACCTGTGTAAAATGTCCTTGAAAACTTATATTTCCACTGAAAGAAGTTGAAGAATCTATAAATTTAAAATATTACTTACCTAGTGTCTAAAATACCAGCACTAGACCCTTCAGAGAATGAAGCAAGCAGTCTCATACTCTGCAATTATAAAGCAATGTGTCAGAAGGGGATATTATTCCTATCCCAACCTTTCATGAAGCTTGTTTATGCCCTGAAGCACAAGTTTATTTCACTTACTTTTTGAGACAATTTCTATTCCATGTTGTAACTCAGGGTGCCTTGTTGGAAAACACTACATTAGTGGTCGGTTTTCTAAACACCAGCACAGCATCTGACATCCCTTTCTTCAGCATTATCCTTCAATAACTTACATAAATATACTGTATCATAGATACAGCAGTTTCTGTATGTCAAAAGAAGTAAAAATTAGCCCAGTTCTCATACTGATATCCCATTCTTACCTGGAGAGGCAAAGATGGGATGTGTCATGCTAGAAGCTGCCTCCAAAGGCACTAGGAACAAGAGGCTGAGTTGCGAGACACTTTCACTTCCACCTTGGTGGGACTGTTACCAGACACCTGTCTAGAGACCTCAGCAACTTTCCTATTCCTTCTTTGTCTGAAGTCTGGCCACTTTTGGTCTCAATCCTTGTACTGGCATCTTTTCACTGTTGTGAAAAACACCTCATCCTCCTCATGTCCTCAGTCTTGAAAACATTAATAGGCATGCTGATGAGGAAGGCACAGGCCCAGACCTAGCCTTTGGGAAGGGAAAAAAAAATTAGAAATTAAACAGATTTTGAAGTAAGAAGCACTTTTCCCATGTTGAAGAGTCACAACAGTTCCAAAATGAGAAGGCATATTTTAGTGATTAGTTGCAGTTAATCCTAAGAATGCTTTAGGCTTTGTAATAAGTCATACACAATATCCTCTCCTCCTTGGAGAAGTGAGATGTGGGGTTTCAGAGTGGAAGAACAAAAGCTTTACAAATGAGGTATTTGCAATAATTCCTCCACAGCAGCTATCTACACTACATAATACTTCTTCCTAAAACAAAAATCTGCCTTGAATAAAAAGAAGAAAATGACATTAGGAGAGACAAGGCATATCTAAAAACTGCATGTAAATCAGAAGTTCATTAGGGGAGTATGCAAAGAAGCTTTTGGAAGGTAATTTTGCTACTAACTAGTTTTCCCAAGAATGAAGTAAGGCTTTCAAAAGCATCAATGCTCTAAGTATTTCAAATTATCTACTCTACCTGATACTATCTCTTCTCACAGAGATTACAAAGCACTTAAATTTTTACCCACTTTGTTACAGAAATCCCCAAGGAAGGTTTCAATCCATTTGCAAGCACTGCTATGAGAAGATGGCAGATGTTTTCAAAACTTCCTCCAGCACATCTTGAGTTAAACGTTTTTTACAATATTGCCTCTGTATCATAAAGTTCTTTGTTCAGAAACTTACCACTGAGTCATGCAAAAAAACCCCACTGGACCAAAACTCAGCCTACAAAGGTTCAGCCAAGAAACAATATTTCCTGGCTCTTTGTCCCTTTCTTTTTTCTAGCACCGAAATAGAAAAAGATTCTAAGTGCTCTACCGTTTCCAAGCATGAATGTGCTCCTATTACTCATAAAATTACTTTAATTTTAAAATGAAATGGTGGGGGCTTACAGCTGAGATTGTTGATGATGCTTCAAGCGCCAAGTAAGCTCCGCCGTGCTGGCAGTCAGAGATGGCCCAGCCACCATTCAGAGGCGTGCACATCTCTCTATGGCATCTCCCATTTTGTAGCAGTCCAAACACTCACTTTTATTTAGGCAAGCCCCCCTCTGGCACCCATAGGGGCATGTTATAGCAAAGGGTAATTAAGGAAGGTATTGCTCAGTTTCTGTTTCTCCCCACAGCAAGCGAGACCCACATTTTGCAGCATGGAAACATGTACTTCATAGGGACACAAAAGGGCTGAGACATCTTATCCCTGTCACAGCCCAGAGCAGCACTTAGCAGTGTGACTGTGTTTTATTCTGGCTTGCCACAGAGCCACACCAGTATTCGTCCACTTGCAGAATTTTCCAGCAAGGTTGCTCCTCAGGGGAGCTAAAAGGGTTATGGATCACGGTAGATGAGAGCTGGCCCAGCTTCAATCAAAACCATTTCTTGCCACGGTTTTGTACTGACATCCTGCATTCTGCTTTGTGTGCTGAAGTTAGAACAACTCCAAATAAGAAAAAAACTTTTAAAAAATAAATAAATAAAGTAAAAAAAAAAAAAAAAAAAAAAAAAAAAAAAAAAAAAAAAAAAAAAAAAAAAAAAAAAAAAAAAAAAAAAAAAAAAAAAAAAAAAAAAAAAAAAAAAAAAGAAAAAAGAAAGAAAAAGAAGAAGATAAGGAGGAGGAAACCTGTGTGGAAAAAAAAAGCCAAAGAATGAATCTTCCTATAAGCTCCTTTACAAGCACTGCTGCCTGCTGTGCTTTGAACACAAAGGTGAAAATCCACTGGTAAAAATCCAGGCATTCTATGGACCGGAAGAGCTTTGCCTTTGGCTTCTGGTGTTCCTGAGCTTCCAGGAAAGGTCACTACTTTTCTGTCTTACAGGCTCTGCAGCTTGTTCATGCCTGCAAAGCTCCTCTGGTTCACAGCAGCTGCATGAGGAACCCCTGTGCCATCCTGAGCAGAGTGGGAGGAAAGGGACAGCAGAGAAGTTGACAGAAAATGGTATAGTTGAAGGTGTCCCTGCCCATGGCAGGAGGGTTGGAACCAGATGATCTTTAAAGTCCCTTCCAAATCCAGACATTCTATCATTCTATGAAAATACACCATTGTGGTAAAGTGGTCAAATGTCTGTAGTATTGTGTTTGTCTGCTTCTTCTCCCAGTTGCATCTTGCTGCCTGCATGAATACATGGCTACATCAAAACTATCTGTGAAACTGATCAACAGCAGACCGGTAGAAAAGTTGACACAATTAGGGCTTCCTGGTGGCCTACCTTCAATGCAGCTGGCAGACATCTGGGAGAGAAAGTTGCTTACCGGCTGCTCTGGGGTTGGTACATGAACGAGTCTCTCAGCTCAAAGCACAGCCTCAGGAAAGACCAGGAGCTTCTGAAAATGGCTGTGTTGTATTAATAACTGAGGCAATCACAGAACTAGAGGGACAAATACACAAATCCCTTTAAGATATGGCATCTATTTGACCTCTCACAGAAATAGTGTTGCATTCAGAGAGAAAGCAAAACATTTTTTGGTGTTCTTCCAGCATTGCCTCTTGCATTTACTCCAGTACGCTATATTTGGTATGGTTGTTTCTGTAGGAGAGCTACTCTCTAACAACTGTCATCGCGTAGAAGCAGCAAATCTCCTGGGAGTTTAAGGCAGCTTTTATTTAGACCCACACTTTGTTATGATACCAAGTTTAGCCTCAGCTATGCTGCATACTGAAATCTCAGTAAAGGCCCACATTTCTTTGGTTTCACTGTACTTCACAGTATCGCTGCCCGCACAAAACTACTCCTGTTAATCCAGATTTTTGACTGTAGCTCAGATGTCTGGAGATGGAGAGAGAGTGTGGTGGCAAAGACAGCATGCAGTGTACACTGATGGGGACAAGTAACAGCTACGTAGTTGTCAGCACAGAGAAAGGGATGCTTGTCTTGGAGGCTCGATATTTGGGACGGAAGGCTGGAAGATCGATTTAACTTCTTTGATGTGTCATATCTTGCTGGTAAAGGTTTAAATGCTATTTCTGGCTGCCACATTGATTTTCATTACCATGGATCCCCTTTTTGAGGTGAAGACTTTCTCTCAAAGGAGTTTCCTAAATGTTTTTAGCTTGGGATGTTGTTATATTTTAAATTACAACACAAATACATGCACACACATATGCACCAACTCATACTATCCGTAGGCGATCTGTGTATGGTACTGTGCAATTTTAGTTTTCCATCACAGAAGCATTTAAATTATGGATTTACTTAAAAAAAAAAAGAAAAAAAAGAAAGCAAAACATAACTCATCCAACATGTAGGCACAACACCCTGTCCTGTTTGCTCCTCTTCCATTCATCTGGAGATCTGGAGGTATTAGGTGACACAAGACCTTTGAATCTGCCTCCTCAGAAACTCTGACAGTTCAGAACATGGTGCGTTCTCCATTATTATTCCAAAATATCAGCTTACACACTCCAAAACTATTTAAGAAATACTGATTTAATTGTACTCCCCCACATTTTTGCAACTGCCATCTTTTACTGTGAGTATTAATATGCTGAGTGGGACAATGGTGCTGCTTTGCTGCTGTAAAGAAAAATCTTTCTCCTTGTGAATTCCAGAAATGGCTTCTTTCTGCTATTTTAGCTGTTTCACGTAACAATTCTTGCAATGGAAGAATGTGGCTCATCATGTAGATTTGTGTTCTTTATAACTGTAAAATAATAACAGATAGTTTTCCCCCTGTGCCAGCGCTTTTATTCCAGTCAAGGTTGATAAAATATTTCTTGAAGAGAAACTTACAACTCAGCCTGTGTAAGAAACTATGCTGCTGATGAGCACAAGTGTGGAGGTGATACTCCGGTGTAGTGCAGTCCCATCCCTGTACAAAACCACTCTCATGCACAGACTAGGCAGGGGTTCTCTTGAAGCACAGTCCATCATACAGGCATGTAAAATCCTCCTCTGCCTCCACTGCAGGGACAGAGGGAGGTGATGACTTGCCCAGAGCAAAACAACACATCCCATCAGTAAACCCCTCAGTGGTGTTTGGGTCAGATCTGTGAGTTCGTGTCAGTGCTGTGTGTCAAAGCAAGCCTGCAGGATGAGTCTGCTGTAACGGTGCTGGAGTGGTTTCAAAACCAGCCATTAAACCTCTCCTTCATGAGAATAAATGAGCTTATCTGCATGCACCCATGTACACATACAGACACATTTTTTAGGCCTTTCCAGTACTTGGGGTTTGGGTGGTGGTGCTTGATAGGAGACCAGTGAAAGTTCTTACGGCTGAGATGAAAACCATGCATGATGTTACCTCTGGAAGGGCGGTTTGGAGAAGCCTGAGTGTTCCCAGAATAGCACAGTTTCCCTAACACATCTACAAGCAATGCATCAAGCTCCAAAGAGCCTCTTTTTTTAGGCTTGGCTCTAAGGGGTTGGAGGTGGGGACAAGCAGTGGAAGGTTAACAATGACAAGAAGGCATTCGTTTGAAGGAAAATAATAAATCTACTAAATTCTTAAAGACTTACAGAATAAAGTCTTGGCAATCCCATCACTCTTCCCACATATAATAATGCCAGGATTCTGATGTCTTTAGGAATAAAGAAACAGCACAGTGCTTAAGATTACAACATGGCATTTTGCAACATTTAATTATAATAAATACAACCCTATCTGGAAATAAATTAAATAAGTGTGAGGTTTTCTTTTCTTTTCTGGGCTGAAGAATGGTAGCTACATGGTAGCACACGTAGGTCCTGAAAGTGTAAAAACGCCACTGTAATTTTGAGGTAATTGCATTGTAATTTTAAGAAATGTCCTGAACTCTTAGTATCCATAGAATACATATTGTTTTGTATATTCACAGACATCTAATGCCCTTGGGCTGGTTTTTGTCAGGGACTATCTGGGTAGTTGTTTTTCACAGCTCCCTGAAGGCTTCACAGACCTTCATAGGCGGTCTGGTGAGTTCAGCTCAGCATGTCCCAGTTCCTCTATGGGAAGAAAGGAAAGATTTGTTTTAAGACTCAGACATTTAGTTTTCTTAGGCAT